TTTGATATGTCACCAAGTTACAAAGCCGCGGGACGGTAGACAGGTATAAAATAAGCAACTAATTTAAAGGCAACCTGTGTATCATATGGACACCTAGGTAACTACAGTAACATATAAGCAACTATTCTAGCTGTGACTAACCAATATCTTGCACATAAAAGGATGTGCGTAAGATATATTGATTGTAAAACCCCCCCACCTCCGTTATGGTACAGATACAAAAAGAATATTTAACTTCACATGACTGCTTCGACTCCAGTCACGTAGTTTGGAAGATTGTGCGTTGGGTGATGACGTGTATAATTTCCAAGCCTGTCCATATTATCCAGTCGTTGAAATATTTTGCTAACAAAGTCGTCGGATGATAATCATTGGCCACCCATATTGGCCTGTTAGCTTGTTGTTTGATAGGACATTATTCTTCATCTTCGCCTATTACGGGTACTTTCTGGAGCTGGTAGTCATTCATTAACTTTGCTGACCCTTCGTGCAACGGTCTATCAGGTTTTCCTGGTTGCCCCTCAAGATGCCCATCAAGAAACTATTGCCAAAGGAACTATATAAGTATCGAGAGATTCCCGTTGCTACAGGATGTAATTGTCTTTCTGCCTCAGTACGATAAAGCACAGCAAATTTCTTTAAAATCTCTCTACCACAAATACATAACATACCAACCTACTTGCGATCAGTCTTATTCCACCAAGCCCACAATGGCGAGCGAGTCCGCAACAAGTGGCGGCCACCCAATGGGTAGCCAGCCCGGAGTCAAAGTCAACAGCGAATCGGTCTTATACTTTCCTAAGCCCGGAAACACGCCGACACAGCTGGTCTGTCAGCAATTCAGCATTGCGTCGTGTGCAAAGACTCGCACGTGGAAATGGTGAGGACCGATATTCTATTCATCTCGGTAGCTGGATGCCATTTTGAGAACAGCTAAATCGTTCAAGACTGATTTCTTCATTCATACCGAGTTGGACCAGCTAACTCATATGTCCTAACAGCTGCAGTTGCGGGGAAACGTACCCTTGGAGTGTCACCCAATGCGTATTCAGTAATTGTCGACACGAGCGGTGCGACGATTGCAAGGAAACAGTTGGCTAGATCACTCGTTAGTGAGGCTAGCACTCTCTCAGGAAGAAAGAAAGCTTGGAAAGGTTACAAGCCTAGATTTGGAAGACGAAGAATTATATGACGTTTAGCGGTAGCTACCTCATATATAGGTAATTATAAAATTATTATTACAACAAGGAACAAAGGGGGTTTGCCAACCAAACAACCTGTCTATATGAGAAATCGTAGGTGTTAATTAGCTAGACTTAGGAAATATGACTTTTTGTCTCGCACTCCCATTTCCACACGGTGGTTTCACTTGTAATGAGCAGTAAATCTACTGTGAAAACCAAAAAAAAAAAAAATAATAAATAAAAGATGAATTTGACGATGAATTTGAGGATGATTTAACAAAAAGTTCGGCGTTTGCTAGCGCATTAGAAAGAAGCGGAATCGGCCGTGAAAGCTCGGAATTAACGAACAAATCAACGGTTTGGTACACTGAAAAAGCGCCCAAACCTGGATTCACAAAGTCACGAAGAGAAGAAAAGTATCACGAAAATATCCGTACAAGACTCGAACTTCACGAAGCAAACCATCGGCTACGAAGCGCATCGGGATAATCTCGGTTAAACCACCCCCCAGTCCTAAAGTCGAGCATTATCGAACTAGGCGTGAGATGGCATAGCTGCCGATGCTACCCCCGTAAATGGCAAATGGGCCGTAGATTTAGTAGATGGACCTGGCTAGATGCAATTCAGCCAAATTCCCCTAATTGCCAAGGACGTAGAACGAGACCCTACATCTTAAACGATAACCACCTTCGAATATCTAGACGGATATATATAACATTGTTCTATTCCGCCCGAGTCGTGATGGATGTATCTTCAACGCGGAGCACACTCGAGGCGAAGGAGACGAGAGTTCAGACACGCGTCGCTGGCCCATGACTTGGTTTTTCCTGGCATTCATGGCATTTGCAATCGCAGCTGCATCTGTGTTGCCATCGACCATCGACACGTGAATCATCAAGGGCTAATGAGCGAAACCACCGTCTGGACTCGGTCATGACTCCCTTTCTCAAGAGTTTACCCCGGCTGCGGCGCTTTCTCATCCTCATCCCGGTGGTGGCGCTGCTGGTCTGGGCTCTGCTCCCGCCTGCTAAGTTGAATTCTCCAAGATCTTTGTTCCACGCTATCAAGGGCTCATCAGGAAAATCTAGCGACAAAATTTTGCGATATATCGATCCTCTTATCGGAACCGTGAATGGAGGTGGGTGACAAGCAACGCAAGCACCAGTTTTGGTAGATCAAAGTCGCTTACTAAGACGATTACAGGCCATGTCTTTCCCGGCGCAACGCTGCCGTATGGTAAGTCATTCGGGTGACGGTGCATTGAGACCACCTTACTGATGCGTCGCATAGGCATGGCAAAAGCCGTCGCCGACGCCGATAACCATGCTGAAGCAGCTGCTGGATTTGTCTCGGATAATTCAAAAATCCAAGGCTTCTCCCATTTGCACGATTCAGGTAACTAGGCCAAGTCATCCATCCCAGAAGCTCTTGCTAACTCATCATTAGGCACCGGAGGAGTAAGTACGCCACCTTTACCAATTTCGCAGCTCTAACTGGCAACAGAGTCCCTCATTGGGGAACTTCCCCTTGTTCGTGCACCCAGGATGTCCGGAGGATGATTACGCCCAGTGCAAGTACACAGCCATAGGGAGGGCCGTTCCGAGGATAGAGGGCTCGGCGAAAGCACGACCTGGCTACTTTGCCATTGGCCTTAACAACTCAGTCTACGCCGAGATGACGGCAAGCGAGCATACCACGCTCTATAGATTTAGCTTTTCTCAAGAGGCCGAGGTCGAGTCTCACAACGCTCTAGTACCCAATAGCCCGCTAATTCTTCTCGATTTGGTAGACCTGGGTAATTCTAGAAGTGGAGGCGATATCCAGGTAGACCCCGAGACAGGAAGAATATCAGGAAATGGAACCTTCAACCCGTCATTTGGAACTGGGGCCTACACAGCTCACTTTTGCGCAGATTTCACGGGTGCCGAGATCCGGAAGACAGGCACATTTTTACAAACCAATGTGACAGACGAGATCCAGGCGTTCGGCCAAGTAGCGACGAATTTCTACATCCCGTCCGGCACGGCAGGCGGCTGGATCCATTTCGAACGTCCGGCCAAAGGCCAGATCATGGCGCGAGTCGGGCTTTCCTTCATCTCCGTGCAGCAAGCCTGCCATAACGCGGAGACCGAAATTCCGAGTTTTGGATTCGAGGGCATCGTGAAGGCGAGCGAGAACGCGTGGAAAGAGAAGCTTTCCGTAATCAAGCCCGACCATTCGGGCATGAGCGAGGAGTTTCTGACTACGTTCTGGTCGGGCCTTTATCGCGCGCTGATCTCGCCGCAGAACTATACGGGGGAAAATCCGCTGTGGAAGTCGGATGAACCATACTACGACTCTTTCTACTGCATCTGGGATTCGTTTCGGGCGCAGCACCCTCTGTTGACTATCGTGGATCCAGCGGTGCAGACGAAGATGGTAAGGTCGCTGATCGATACGTACAAGCACGAAGGGAAGCTTCCAGATTGCCGCATGAGTTTCAGCAAGGGATACACGCAGGGTGGATCTAACGCAGACGTCGTACTTGCAGACGCGTATGTCAAGAACCTGACAGACGGCATCGACTGGGACCTTGGGTACGAGGCCGTCGTCTCCGACGCAGAGGTGGAACCCAAGGACTGGTCAACCTCGGGTCGCGGTAGCCTCGAGAATTGGCACAAACTAGGATACGTGCCGTACGACGATGTAGATCACAACGGGACGGGTCCCATGAGTCGAGACATCTCGCGCACGGTAGAATATGCGTACGACGACTTCGTGATCGCGCTGATGGCGCGGGGGCTGGGTCACAAGGGTGATGAGACCAAATACCTGCAGCGCAGCCGCAACTGGAAGAACCTGTTCAACCCGGAGCAGGATGACAGGTACCGGGACGAAGCCGGGCAGGTTATCATGTCGCAGTTCAAGGGTTTCTTGCAGCCACGCTTCAGCAACGGTACGTGGCGGTACCAGAACACGCGACTTTGCAGTCCCATATACCAGCAGCACAGCTGCTATTTCGATACCCAGTACGACACGTATGAGGGAAGCCCGTGGCTGTACACGTTCTACGTGCCACAAGACATGGCTAGCCTGGTCGAGGCGCTGGGCGGCCGCGACACTTTCGTCGAGCGGCTCGACTATTTCCACTCCTCGGGTATCAACTACATGGGTAACGAGCCCAACTTCCTGACGACGTTCCAGTTCCACTACGCTGGGCGGCCCGGGCGGAGCAACTACTGGGTGCACCAGTACATCCCGGGGCAGTTCAACGCCAGCGTCAACGGCATACCGGGAAACGACGACTGCGCCATGGGCGCCTTCACGGCCTTCGCCTTCATGGGCTTCTACCCAGTGGCCGGGCAGGACGTGTACCTATTGACGGCGCCCATGTTCCGCCAGGTCAGCCTGCGGACGCCGTCGGGCAAGCTCGCGACGCTCCGCAATACCGGCGGCTTCGACGCGCCGCGCTACGACAATATCTACATCCAAAGCGCGAAGCTGAACGGCAGGCCGTACACCCGCAACTGGATCACGCACGACTTCTTCGTCAACGGCGGCGTGCTCGATTTCGTGCTGGGTAGCAAGGAGAGCGATTGGGGGTCTAGGGACGAGGACCTGCCTCCGAGCCTGTCGACGGGACTGTTGGATTGAATAAGCGGATGAACGGGAAGGGGGAGCGTTCCAAAGGTATAGCTGATGAGGGCTTTTAATGAACGATTAGACGAGTTCGAAAGGAGTAAATGAGGTCTCTTGTAACGAAAAGGGTAACAGGCAGAACAGATTGGAAATGGAGTGGCATGAGCTCCCATAAAAAACGGGTAAAAAATGAGAGTCCTCTCGATCGGGGAATCGAACCCCGGCCACCTGCGTATTGCACACGATAAGTATCACGCTTGATGACGTGATATCCCGGCATGACAAGCAGGTATCCTGACCACTAGACCAATCGAGACTAAACGACGCTTTGAAGGCCGACGTCCAGGCTTTTGGATGATTGTTTTAGCGGTAAGATGCGTTAAAATACACCGTTAGCATATTTCGCATTTCTGCGCGGCGTAATTGTTTGTGTAGGGTATAAGCGAATGGGACTAGTTCATGGTATTAATGCCCTGACCCGACAGGACGGGACTGCGTTAGTTCGACGTCTATGAGGCGCTATGGCAATCAAGCGTCTCGTTTAGTGCCGTCGAGTGTGGACACCAAGTTGGACTACTGCTGCGACAAACCTCAAGCCAGCTACATAAGCGTAGACAAGTGATACTGGTAATGGGAGACAAATAGGCATCAATCATCGGGTCCTCAGAACTCCCGCTTTATCTCCCAGGGACATGACTAGTAGTACACGGCCGCTTGGCCTCTTATCTATCACAAAAGGAACGAAACGGAATATAATACAAAGAAGACCAGCTCATCTGTCTCAGCACCGATGAGGGTCCATGACCAACCCCCGTGGGAACGTGCGTGTCTGTTTGCTAGATCGACAGTGGCCCTTCACTCATACGAGAGCCACGTCTACCCTTGATCTTAGAAAGTCAAGCACCATCGCTGCCATCCTCGGCATCGCCAGCATCATTAGCCTCGTCAGAATCGCTATCAAGGTTGGGATCTGGCATGACGACACTATTAAGAAAGGTGATCTATGCAAATCCCAAGTATTAATTAGCTCGCTCAAGTACATACATAATGTTCACACGCGACGGGAAGAAATAAACTAGGTACTTACAAACTCGACCATGGCGCTGATGATGCTCATGATCCTGTCTTGCGCGTCGTCGGCGAGGAGGTCCGCGTCGTCGATCTTCTTGAAGACCGTGTAGTTCCGCAGCTTCAGCAGCTCGATGTCCCTATGATCGGGGGTGAAGCCCTGTCTGGCGTCAGCGATTCCTTAGCGCGGAACCTGCCATCGTCCCGCGATAGCGACGAACGCAAAACATACCTTCGGTTTCGTCTTCAGGGCGTTCTCCTTATTCGAAGCCGCGAACGCCGATACCGCGGATTTCTCGTTGTTGGCCTTGGCGCCCGGCAGGAAGGTCTTGCGGAAGACGGGATTTGTCAGGACGCGGCGGATGCGGTGGGGGCGCTCGTCGACGCTCGCTCGCAGCTTGGCGAGCGAGCTGGCGTCCGGATGCCAGAGGCCGCCACCGACTAGGCATCTACCGGGTTCGACATGTACGTAGTAACAAGCATAGGGTCCCTTCCTACCCGTCCGTGACCACGCGGCTGAGTAATGAGGCTACGCCAAGAAAGGAATGCATTAGAAGGGTCCTCTTATTACAATGGCAACATGTGGAAAAGGGGGAAAATCTGAAACTCACCTTATACGGTGTGGGATCGTTGCTGAATCGAATATCCCGATATATGCGGAAGATGACATCTTTAAGGGGTAGCTCAGGAATCGTGTCGTCGGCCTCGATGATCTTCTCGGAGAGCGTCTCTACGAACGACTCCCAGTCTTTAAGAGACCTCCTATATTCCTTATCGTTCACTGGCATTATCAAAACCTCATGTTAGAATCAAACCGCAGTCACGAGCTCACGACATCAAGAGGCAAGTCAACTACGTACTTTTTAGCCAATTCCTCTGGTTGTTGGCTTTGAGGTCCTTGAGGAATAGGAATGTGTTTTTATGAAGTTTAGTGTCCTCGTAGTCGATACCATCGGTGTCTCTCAACTGGATCGCTGCGACATTCGGTATGAGTATATTGTCTTAGGTAATTGACGATGTTCCAAGGGGAAATCCCAAAACCATGATGGTGTACTTACCTGGGATGAAGGTAATTCGGTTCTCATCGTCGTCGTCGTCGTCGTCGTCGTCGTCGTCGTCGCTATCTTCCACCACATTAGGCTCTTCAGATTCGGCTTTCGCCTTAGCCTTTGCCTTGGTCTTAGGCGCAGCTCGAGGCTTCGCGTTGGTAGTGGCCTTTTTCTTAACTGGTGTGGCCCCTGCCTTTTTCCCAGGCGGTCTTCCACGCCCGCGCTTTTGCACCGGCGGCGCCTCACTTTCAGAGTCATCCGCGCCCGGATCATCGTCACTCGGCTCATCGATACTAGCCTCTTTATACTCTTCGTACACATCGCCATCGTCCTCATCCTCAGGCTGTAACTCATCCTCCGATTCTGCCTTTGCCTTCGACTTCCGGCGGGGCGACTTAGTTTCCACCTTAGCCACCTTGCGAGGGCGTGGACCCGCGAGCTCATCAGCGCTACCGTCATCGTTGTCGTCGTTCCCCTCAAAGTACGTGCTCTTCTTGCCGCTCGAGCTGATGCGCCCGGATTTGCGACGCGAGCTCCTTCCGGTCTCGGGAGTAGCAGCAGCCTCAGCCGCGGTGCGCTTTCTAGGGGGCATGACTAAGTTTTCTGAAAGTTTCCCTAATGTTCGGTTGAGTTCTCAATTGACTTTCTTTGATAACGCCATAAGACGGAAACAATGGAAATTGACTTGATGACGCGCCAAGTCGAATCGCGGGGGAGCTGAATGGCCTCACGCTATCACGTGATTAAGACAAAGGGAGATGATCATCTAAAGTGATGCTCGTATTCGGTTTAGCTCCAATCGGCTAATATAGGTAAGCTTGGCATTTTATCTCTCCCTTAGTAATCTCTCCATCTCCTCACCATGGACTTGGTAGCCCAGTAGCGGAGAACCAAATATCTCAAGTGTTAATTATTATATTAAAGTACCTAGGTTGGCTAGCAAGATGGGCAAATGTCAATAGACATCGTCTATCAGCTACACCCACTGGCTGGGTTTGTTATATTGCCTTACCTCGTTGCAGCAATCGTACGGCACCTCCATATCACCATAAAACCCCGAAGCCCCGTAAAGTTCCCTGGACCAGATCTTGCCTGCATTGGCACAAATTGCTGTTTCTATATACCGTCTGTACGGTAGATCCTTACTACGGTCCTTGTGATATATACTTGCAACGGCTCTCTGATCAGTCGTACTGTCAGAGCCTTGGTGGCCATTATTGATCGAAAACGGGACTTGGTTGATTTGTCCTGCAGACAACATGCCAGCACGCGATGCTACAGAGTCTCCAAATGGCGGACTCGAAACTAGCGTGGTAGTCGGAGGGGCCCGCCATAACGCTTCGGCCGCGCTCGCGTATCATTTAGTATATCGCCGAGTATCGTTATGAGGAGAGTTCGTCAGACTTAAGTCAACCAAGTCCTGCATTGGAAGCCATGCGGCCCAGCGGTGTTCTATCCCGCGGCTTTTCTATCAGGTCGGCATACCCTTCTAACCCAGCCCCGATTACTTTTACGATGTCGAAAATGTGCGACCCCTTAAACGTCTCGGCCCACAGGCGTATCACAGCCACCGCGAGCTGTCGCAACTTCGTACCATCGTTCGCAGCTATATCCATACTTGACTGACTATGCCCGGGAATGCCTCCCGAGAGCGAAGGATCAATCGGAACTGCGAACTCTGTTTCGTCGAGCATATGACGCAACATTTCGAGAAGGTTTCGTTCGTCGGGCTCCGGGGGAGCACCCGTCGGGCCGATCGAAGCCAGAGTCATCAGCCATTTCGAAAGGAGGATGGCACATTCTATGTTGCATACTGCGAACAGGTCAGAGGCCTTCTTTTTCTATTAATCCGTAGTCACTTACGTGAATGTTGCATACTCCATTCCGATGATTTCCTCCTCGCCACGTAGTTAACGCCCACCTTAACCAACATGGACAACGCATGGATCGCTTGAAAAACGGCTCGGTTCAGTCGCACGCTCCGGACAAGATATGGCGCATCGTGGAACGCTTGAGCAATCTGGCCCGCATCCCTGGTTTCGAGAGTTCTACTCGGACTCAGGTCGGTGTATAATCGTATGGAAGCCAGTCGCCAGAGTGCTGTCGAATTATAGGCAACAGGTCCGCCAGGGAGTACATCCGTACCATTTTGATGATTACCTTCCGTTACCCGTGCCTGATGCTGTTCGAAGCTCATCTGCCAGATGCGCAGAGCCTGAAAGCAATCTTCAACGTCGTCCTGACGCAGCCCACCAAACAATGACACCGAATTGAAGGATGTCTGCTTCAAGAGAAATATGTGCTGTAGTATAGCATGGATGAGAATGTAATTTCCCAAAGAAGACATGTACGCTGGGGGACCCTGGGGTGGTCGGCTAAATAGTCTCGAGAAGGCGTCTTGGAGGGATATATCCATGCTTGGAAAAGACTGACGCGCTTCTTGCCACTGCCAAGCCGTTTCCGCTCTCCAGAGTTTAGAGGAATGCGGGAGAAAAAGATTGAGTTCCGATGTGAGCAGTAGAGGCGGCATATTGTAAGCGATGCTACACAAGTTGAAGAAACAGTACGAGACGAGTTTCGTGCGATTTGCGCCTTCTATTCGGACCCATGCCTCCCAGTCGGCAGTCTGCGTAGATTCCGACAAGAATCCTTCTTCGCGCACCAGAAGAGCTAGAAGGCTCTGAAGCGATAGTGCTTCACGGAGAATGGCTTTCGCACCCCAGAGACCGACGGCAAAAAGCAACAGGAGGGCTTGTATTGTTTCCATACGAGACTGGGGAGTATTTGGAGAACTTCAAACATTATGAATGTTAGCAGACCGTTTAGGGGTTAAGACGATACGATTTCAGTTTATTTGATGGGGTTCTCTTACTACGGCTCCCGGTGTGTATCTTGGGTCATGGGACGTTCTTGCTGAACAGAACTAAAAGAGTGACGAAACCCATGACTTGGGGATGGACGGGTAGAATGTGGACTATACGCCGCCGGCGTTGGTAATAAGCCGTGGACTTCGTGGCTATGGCGACGTCGAATCTGCTCGAGCGCCACAGCTTTCGCTGCATACCATAACGCATTCGATCGATGACTCTCAAACCTGTACTGCGCACCCACTGCTAAAACTGCCAATAGCAGCTCCGGAGCTAAATCGGCGGCGGTAATAGTCGGTAGATGCAGAATCGGTAAATGTTCGTGAAACCCG